GGTTCTTTACCCAGCACCACAGTAAAAAGAAAACCAAAGAAACTCAGAGCTTTTAACCATTTTTGTGGCCTTCAAGAATTCTCAATCTTCATCAAATCAAGTCAGTCTTTTCTGTAGCCAAAGGAAGCGCTCCGTGGGCCCATCTCCCCATGTGCTGAACGTCTACCTACTCTTCTTTGTAACTGTTCTGGGGACTCTGTCTGCTGTTGTTCCCAGAGCAGGAACTCTCAGAGCCTCAGAGCTAGCAAAGCTCATTATCTGAGCAAATTTTGACAAGGAGGACATAGACGCAGGCTGGCACAATATCCTCTTATCATTAGGCGAAGCTCCAAATGATAAGCTTCAAGGCCAAGTGAGAAACTTTCATTGCTTCCTGAGGAAATAAATAAGGTTACAGAACAGACAGTTTCATTTTTTTTGTTAGTCGTGTATATTTAAGGTAATATATGATTCGTTTCCAGTGCTTCATGATACTTAGCCACCAGAAAGAGAATAATCTGTCCTTTGGAAGAGGAGGGACTGGAATCTGGGCTGAGATTCACTGTCTCAGGTCAGCAGAACATCAAGAAGATTTCTAATCAATATCAGACGAGATGATGGAGTCTGAAGTCTGGAGACTCCTTTGCTCCTCACTATTGTTCTTTGAATATCAAGATGCAACCCATTCCTCACCTCACGGATGGTGATTCCTGTCGGGAGTGGAGGCACATTCCAGCTCACTCAGGGGCATCCTGCCCAGAAAGGAAGCTGGCTGCCAGCCCTGGGTCACCCCTTTAGGACCCTCTTCAAAGCGAGTGGCCTGAGGGAGAAGAGAAGTGTCCACATTGTTGCTGCTCTGTGTGCACAAACAGGCCCTCTGCCCCAGACAGCTCAGCGACACTCCTGCCACTGCTTCCAGGGTTCAGAACTCCAGCTTCCTGGAGGCCTCCTGCACCCCCTGCAGAGAGCCGGGACCCTCTCCACAATGCTCTCTCCCTCCCGTCTGCTTTCCTCCAAAGCACTTATTACCAGTTGGCAAACTATATGATGTGTGCTTTTCATGTATTCTCTGTGTTCCCTGCCTCATGAAAAACTACCCAAGGTTTTTTTTGTTTGTTTGTTTGTTTGTTTTCCCTAGAAAAATCTGCTATAGGCAGAGACAGATATGATACTCAGGAAGGACTTAAAGATTGAATTTATAAGGAATCTACCATGGGACTCTCATTGACCTTAAAGCCAGGCCTTCAGAGCTGTCCAGCAATGACAGCTTTCTCTGTTATTCATGTGGACCTGAACTCATTTTCAATAAAATCACAGGTTCTTTTTTAAAACACGGATTTGCTGCATATTTGCCACAATCCAAACGCTTGGAAACAGTTTACTACACAAGTTGTTTCCGGAGTGAAGAAGGTGGCTCTCAAACAGATGGATATGCCTTCAAGGAGCATCGATGGGAAAAGGAGACCTTGACCTCCCTATGGTTGAATTGTATGTAAGCAAATCATCCAATCTACAAATATGAGACAACACATCTTCTGCACCATCCAAATAAATGGTAAATAAGTTCAGGTATCAATTTAAGACTTATTCAACTATTTGGGGTTGATAGTAATCAAGATATGTAGGTTTATTTGTGAACATTCCAAAAGGTTAATAATATCTATAAACCCCAGAATTTTAAAAAATCTTGGAATTATAAACTAGAGTTTGCCTATGTCAAGAAAGACAAACTGACATTCTAATAACTGTGTTCACTGGAGTCCTGCCCTGGGAAAAGTCCAGCTACACTTTGGTAGACACATATTCTGGGATTCCTGTCCTAAGCAGAATGGCTGGTTCAGAGGAACATTACTCTGAGAAGCCTCAACATGTGCAGGAAGTGAAGGGCCTGCCTTCCAGTTGGCATCCACTGCTAACTAACTACTGCATGTGGGCATGGCCAGCCTGCCTTCTCGAGGACTCGGTTTCCTCCCAGTGAAGACAGAACGTTCGATCAGACCATTACTGGAGCATGCAGTGAGGGATCGTTTAGTCTCACAGCTCTGGATCATAGAAGAAATAAGTTCTAACGTAACCTGTTGGTTGTTAGATATGAAGATTCTGTTAGTGATCTTTCCAATCTCATATTTTATACTAATTTACTCACTCCCCACAAAAAATAATAAATTAAGCTTCTGTTTATAGAGCAAGACAAAGGATATTATCCAAAATTTTAAAGTGTGTCAAAAGTAAATACCTAAATAGTCTATCCACTAAGTTGAGATAGCCCACTTGTCTGAGCACGGAAAGACCTGCACGAGGCCTGGATCTGCACTGATATGTGATTAGCAGCATCGCTGACGCAATATTTAGTAATATGTAATATCCAGTGGATTAAAACCATTAGAAAATGCTGAAGAGGCAGCTCAGTGGGAAAGTCTGCACAAAGCCCTGGGTTTGCTCCCCAACACTGCAAAACGGGGAAAGGCAGCAGGTAGAGCTTTTCAAGTTATCACAAATATACCTGTAAAATACAAATTCCAGCGTCAAGCTTAATAGGGACACAAATTGGCCAAAAAGATGATCTCTGGTTTCTAGCCTCCTCCTAGATAGAAGAAGGGAAGGGTATGGACAAAGAGGAGGGGAAGAGAAAGGTGAAAGTGAGAGGTGAAAGAAAAGGTACATTATAGAACCTGTAGAGAAAGCATCAAGATTCACATGACTCCCACAGGACAGGGTTGTAGAGATTGAAGAGCCAGGACAGTCAAAGTCTACACCCCTGCAGACTATAAGAGGTCTGCTAGAAATAGAAACAGGATTCAAAGAATAATGATTTTTGAAATATAATGTAAGAGAGTGGATATAATTTTTTCAAAGAAATATAACAGCAGAATGTTTAGCAAGAAAAGTGAAAACCTTCTAAGACGGAAGCTTGAGAATGGTCCTGAAAGACAAAAGCCTACCCAGTTCTGAGACAAAATTGGCCATAAAAAATGGTTAATTTTCCCTAAATTAATCTACACATCTAAAGTTTACCCCAAAAAGTAAAACCTGGTTTCTTTGATTTGTTTGTTTGTTTTGCTTTTGGTGTTTTTTAATCAACAGACCAATTCCAAAATTCATATGAAGAAATTAACAAACAGTAATAGCCCATAAATCCTAATATTTAGTTGAACCCCTTGACCTCCAACCCTCTTTGAATTAAACAAGATTCATCAAGCAAATATCCACAGAAAATCTAGTAAAAGTCACACATTGGCTATTGTTGCTCATTTCAGTAATATTTTAATTTTCCTGCAAATGGAGGATCTGGCCAATAAGAAGTCTGGAACCAGGCCTGATGCAGCCTGCAATCCCAGCTATGTGGTTGGCTAAGGCAGGAAGATTGCAAACTCAAAGCCATCCAGTACACATACACACACACACACACACACAAGCACACATGAGTGCGCACGCACACACACACATATAAATGTGTGTATGTATATAACTATATGCACCAAAAATTGTGGTGTTAAAATTTGCTGCTCTTAGTAAGTGCTTTTAAACATAAAAGGTCATAGGCTTCTGAAGCAATTCACAATTAAGAGAAAAGTTATCATTTTTTCAGTAAGAGTTTCAATGTCCAACGGTGTCACCACAACAGTGTCAGGACTGTCTAATACTCATGCGAGCCCAATCCTCTCCAATGTTGCAGAAGTCTTTACAAAGTCCCTCTCCCTGGGACCATCAGTAGAGGCTAGGGGTTAGTCTGCCCCAAGAGTAAGGCCATCTGGAAGAGGACACTGCCCAATGCCCCAGAGCCAATGCCCCTTGGTGGTGACCCGTGATCAAGGACATCTGGCTTAATTCCATCAACTAATAGTGTTGATTCTTGCATCTCATTAAGAAAGGCATTGACAGCAGAAGAAAAACTGTTACCGAGGCCGAAGAAAAACCACAGGCACGCTATGAAACGGAGTTTAAATGGGCATTTCATAAAAAGACGCAAGTCCGCTTTCTGTTTGCTAATGAAATTTCATGCTGCTGCTATACAGCATAGAACTAAGCGAGAAATTCCAGGCCCACAGTAAACTATTAGTCTGGTGAGGCCCCACCAGACAAAGGACAAAAAGCACTTTTAAGAAGCTTGTGATAGCATCATGAATTAATCCTAAAAACACACTTATGTTCAAACTTTCCATGAGAGCTAAAATCTTAGGGGGGAAATATATCCAGGAAGGGAGAGCAGGTAATAATTTTGTAATTGGGCGAAGACTGTTTGTTCTAGGCAAGGTCCCAACTCGTCCTTAGCATAACTCTCAAGAGAAAAAAGAAATACACGAAGACACTAAATGATCAAAGAGAAGCAGAGTAAAAATAAATAAATAAACTATTTTTTTTGGAGACAGATAAAAGTGATTTTTTTTCCTCTGAAAGATATTAAGAGGCAAATTAACTGTAATGACCCTTTTGGGAAACATGATTAACCAAATAACATGGTCAGCAGAGAACTAAATAGGCCTGTGGAAGTGATTAAATAATATTGAATAATGATGGAAAATGACAATTAATCTACACTTTTTTGCCCTAAGGACGCACCAAGGAAAATAAATGTTCTGTCATCAACAAAGGAGATTTGTTTTTTTATAAGTTATTTTGGCACACTGTAAGTAAATCACATTACAATTTACAAGCATATATGTTCCAGAAAACATTAGCAGGAACGCTAAACCAAAATAATTTTAGAAACCTTTTATTATTCACCTTATTTATAGTTAGTGTTAGGGAAAGCAAATGGCCGTGTATCTGGTAAAATGACAGTTTTATATTTTCCGCAAAATACAAATAATGCAGACAATCAGAAAAACTATTATCTTTGAAATATTAACTTGCAAAAAGTATAAACTAATGCTACTCATCCTTCAGTATTGAATACACTTTGAGTTTTCTCCTCTTCTGAATGCCCATTTTCTGGGTTCTTTTCCTACTTTAATTTCTTTATTGTCATTCATGCAGTATCAAAGGATGAGGACAGTATGGTTTGGATATGAGGAGTCCCCTGAAAGCTCATGTGTGACACAATGAAGAAGGCTTAGAGGTAAAAATGGTTGTGTTATGAGAGTCTTAACCTAACTAGTGTGCTCATCCCTGATAGGGACCTCGGTGGTCACCTAGGCAGCTGGGTGTGCCTGGAGGCTGGGTCATCAGGGGGTGCCTGTGGGGTACATAGTGCTGTCTCTCTCTCTCTCTCTCTGTTTCCTGGTGCCATGTCCTGAGCTCCTTCCCTCCACCACACTTTTCTGCCATGATGTTCCGCCTTACCTTGGACCCAGAGCCATGGAGCCATCTGTCCATGGAATGAGACTACTGAAACCTTGAGCCAAAATAAACTTTCCCTCCTCTAAAATTGTTCTTGCCAGGTCTCTTGGTCACAGTGGGGAAAAAAAAGTGACTAAACAAGGACACAGCATATAAATAGAAACACAATAAGGAGCTCACAGCACTGAGTGGCTATTTTAAGCCGGGTGCCTTTCATGTTAACCTTCACTTATCCATCCTTCCAGAGGAAAAAGTATCCTCTCCCACTTTATAATGTTATGAACAACTTTTCTCCTAGGGTATAAGATAGTTTATTGAACTTACATTTTGCATCTCTTTCTCTACTAGTCTAACCTCCTTGAAAGTGGGACCATTGTACATTGTTGTATCTCTAGGGACCAGCCCAATACCTGAGTGGAACCAATGGTGTCAGCTCATTGAATTTGTGGCACTAATGTGCCTTTCTTAAAGGTCCAGTGGTGAATGCTTTGACTTGATGGGCATCTGGTCTTTTGTTACAGCCACCCAACTTTACCATGTCATCAAAGCAACCACAGGCATTAAGTAAAGTAATGGGCTGTCTCTGTTCTAATAAAACTCTGCCTACAGACAGGCAGGCCACTCCTGGGCAGTTTCCCAAACCCTGCTACAGAAGGCGGCTGTGGCCTGTGAGTAGCCATAAACACAGACTGGAGGGCCGAGGGAGAGTCTGAACACACAGCAGCTCATGGAAGGAGTATTTGCTCATTCAGGGAGACCATGAAATACGTCTTCTAGCTTTTAAACTTTACATAACTGGACCAGGGAGTAAATGTCTTCTTGCAACTGGTATTATTGAGAAATACCATGTGGGTGCCCCAGCCTGACCATAACTCATCCCTTTTCCTACTGAGAGACGTTTAGATTGTTTTTCAAAGTTTGACTATCAAACAGTGCTGCAGCTGCCTTATATAAATTCCCTTGAACTTGGCTATGTTTTCTCCTAGAAATGAAATCACAAAGTCACTGAATATCAGCAGATTCAACTTCACTGGATAGTTCCCGAGACAGGCAGAAGTCCACATCCTGACTCCGCAACTGTGAGCAGTAATGTTGTACACAACGGGGAACTAAAGTCACAGGTGGGATTAAGGTTGCTTATAGGTTGACCTGATCACCCACATAGACCAATTAGAGAGTAGTTAGTAATGACCAGCAAAATGCATGGCAAGGTCATAGGCTATCTTTAAATCACTTTCAGAGTCTTCTTCCAATTACTTTCAAAACAAATAGTGGCCATTAATTTGTAGAGAAGAAACAAGCAAAAGGAGTTAATTGGGGAAATACATCAAAAGAAAAGTATTAATGGGATTGCCTCTTGACAGGCTCCATCTGGGTGGGTATGAAGTTAGGAGTTATGGCTGTAGGTGTCTCCATGTGTCTGGGAAGGGAGATTCCTTTAGTAGTACAGGTGCACCAAGGTAACATCTGACCAGTTACTGTCCCCAAAGCCCACATTAACGTGGAATTTACTTGTAGATGAAGCCCTTCTGCACAGAGTGGCCACATGGTGATGACAGTTCTGATGAAGACCAACTAATGTCAAAAAGTCCACTACCCAAGGTGAAGGAACAAAGAATGAGAAGGTGGTCCTCAGTTCTCAAGGTGAACTTCAAACAATAATCAATGTGGAAGCAGCTCTGTATCCCTTGTCATTCCCTGCCCAGAGATGACTCACTCCATCTCTTGGGAATGCTCTCTGCTTGAGCCCTGCCCTGCTTTATTCTCCTCTCACTTCACTTCCCCTTCACCTTCACTTATAATAAAATCCTCTTGGGTGATTTTCAGTGTCTGAATTTAAATTTTCTTTCATTGGAACAAAAGGATGGAGGTTCAAAGGTTCAGCCCCCCACTGTCCTAAGACAGGCCCAGTGCAATCACAAAGGTCCCTAAAGCACAGAGACAGAAGACAAAGAACCAGGGAGACGGCAGCATGGAAAGCACTCCACCTGATGGTGCTCTTGGCCACTGGAAGAAAAGAGCCACCAGCCAGGGGATGCAGGAGGCCTTGCACACTGGTAAGAAGGGTAAGGGACACTCCAGAGAGCTTCCAAGAGCAGTGAAGGCTCTGGACACCTTGGTATTAACCCAGAGTCTCATTTCAAGAAGATGTTCCAGAATATTCTGGACTCCCTTGATGGCACTGGCTGTTTCAAAAAGCACCATTGTGCATGATAGCTGTCTTCTGAATGCTGTTCATATCCATGTACATTTCTGATATGCCTTTTTTAAAAGGAGGCTCTTGAGAGCTGGTATGGCAATCAGAGCAGTACACAGGATGCATGGTTTAAGAAGAACTGTATTCTAAGCTCCCAGCAGTTGACTTCTGGGATGAATTTTTGAAATACAATCAGTTTGGAATGTGGGAACTGACCTTACTAATGCAAGCTCAAATGAGTTGTTTCATGTGCTCTATAATCCCAACCATCTCCACTTGTAAATAGGCTTCTTTGTGACTTCCAAGAGCATCTTCTCCATTTTAGTTAAACATCTATTTGACTTTAGTTGAATGTAAATTAAGAAATAACTTCATAAAGATGGTTCAGTTCAATGCATAGGAATTCCCTGGGTTGTTTGAATCATAAAAATTAAGTGGAATTATCATTTATGTGAATACAGTTTTTCCAAAAAAGTGGGAAATGGGTTGAATAGCTTTCTGCAATTTAAGAACTCTCAGGAGTTATTGAAGAAAAAGTCTAACTTTGAAGAATAGAAGGAAACACCCCTTGCCCTGTAGAAGTACAAAGGATGAAAAGTGGCTGCCCACGGTGCTGATTTCCTCATACAGCCTCCGAAGTAAACAACCACAGGAATAGGAAAATTAAATGGTCTTACAATTCAGTAGACACAGTTCCTCAGTAAACACCTTGACAAAAGAAGTGGTGCAAATGTTTTGACTCAAAGTCATGGCTGATTTTCCTCCCTTCAGAAAATTTGAGATAACAAAGAAAGCAGAATCTGTCTACTTCTAGAAACACTGCTAAAAAGTGTTAATTTCAAAGTATCTCTTTGAAAGTCACCACAGAACAAAAATATTCCAAGAACATTTTGTAATATTAATACAATTATACTTTGTGCAGCTTTTTGCAAAAACTGATCAAATACATAAATGGTATAGGAGATGGTTAAACTATTACTCTTTGAATGTGTTTATCAGTACATACTAGTTTTCCCTAATAATGGGTTCATTTGGACACAATCACACATGCATGGAACATAACTCATTCCACTTCAGTCCCTGGTACTTCCTCATTCTCTCCCCTCCTCCCTCCACCTACTCCCCTTCATCTACTCTACTGTTCTTTCTTCTACTTACTTTTTGTTTTTCTTTTGTTAATTGGTGTTTATAGCCTTCAGCTAACAGCCATCCCTCTACAGTTTCCTTCTAGGTGGATTACTGAGACAACCCTGTGATTTTATTTGTTTCTATCTGAGGGTTGGGAGAAGCTGTGCTGATTTAATCTCCTCTAGGGAGGCTGGCTGGCTATGGACTCTCCAGAAGGGCTGCCCTGCCTGGCACAGCTCTCTGCCCACAGTTTGGGATCACTTGTGGGCATCCCTCCACTGTCCATTTTAATTGGGATGCTTTACTTTCCAGTTATTGTTAAGTAAGATTATGGGCTTTTCCTTTCCCTTTTTCTCTCTTTTTTTTTTTACCCACCCTTGTCAGGGTTGAGGATCAAGGAATTCTGTCCTCCTCTTCTGCCCCAGAAACCAAATTCCAAGTCCCTCCAACACTCAAACTGTCCAGTATTGAGTTTCATGGTATTTACTGTGTCACTCCCTTTTCTGGTCAGCTGTTCTTTCACTGCTTCATTGCTGGGCTGCATGGGAGTAGAGGGCTGCTGCCTGAATCCACTCGCCATCTTGATAGTTCTTCAAGTACTAGCCATGGATATCAGAAAAAATGTCCACTTCTCTTGGAGCCATGTCTGAAGTCTAGAAAACATATTCTTTACCTGAAGAAAAAGAATGACATTACTAAAGAATACAAATGGCAAAACAGTTGATGACATTTAGAGGTAAACCAATCTGGTTTCAGCTGATTTCTCAACACAGACCCTAAAAGCCAGGAGGACTTAGAATAATATATACCAAGCTCTGAAAGAAAATGGATGCCAACCGAGAATACTATACCTAGCAAAATTAAGCTTCAGAATTGAAGATGAAAAAAAAACCTTTCATGATAAACAGAAGCTAAAAGAATTCATAACTGGAAAGCCTGCACTATAAAATATACTCAACTAAATATTTCATAAAGAAGAAATGAAAATCACCAGCACAGGGAGGAATTACACTAGAAAAATAGTCAATTAAAATAGAATCAAGTCTTATTTAAACATTGGAAATAAATCAAAATGGAAGGGAATAAAAATCTTCTCTCAATCATAACATTGAATATAAATGGTCTAAACTCTGTAATCAAAGGACATAAGTTGGCAGATTGTTTTAAAAAATAAGACCACAAAATATGCTATCTGCAAGAGACTCATTTAACAGGCAAACACATTCCCAGACTGAAGGTCAAAGAATGGGGGTGGCAAAAAACAAAAACAAAAACATACCATTTACATGGGACTCATAAACAAGCAGGGATAGCTATTCTCATATCAGATAAAGTAGATTTCAAGCAGAGACAAAGGTCATTTCATACTGGTTAAGGGAATCATACATCAACAAGATATAATGATCATAAATATTTATGCTCAAACAATTGAGCATCTACGTAGATCAAACAAACCCTTCCCAATATACACAATACAGTAGGATGGCTTTAACACACCTCTCTCACTACTGGATAGATCATCCATACAAACTAATAAAGACTTTACAGAACTAAAAGCTATGATTAATAATATAAACCTAACAATCTTCTACAAAATATTTCATCCACCAATGGCTGAATATACTTTCTTCTTGGCAGAACATGTAACATTTTTTAAAACAGACCATATCTTAGGTCACAAAGCAAATCTTAGCAAATACAAAACAAAATACCTTGCATTCTCTCATATCATAATGGAATGAAATTAGAAATCAACAATAAAAACCAGAAACCACTCTAACACCTGGAGATTAAATAATACACATTTGAAGGATGAATAGATAACAGAATAAGTCAGGAATGAAATTTAAAAATGGAGAAAAACTGAAAAAATTTCCTTGAAAATCAGGAGGAAGACAAGGATTCCCACTCTCACCACTTCTATTTAGCATAGTCCTTGAAACTCTAGCCAGAGCAATCAGGCAAGAGGAGGAAATCAAAGGGATACAACTAGGGGGAAAGGGGGCTTAAATTATCTCTGTTTGCTGATCCTTTGTTTAAAAGATCAAAAAAAAAAATCCCCCAGAAGTCTTCTAGAACTCATAAATGAATTCAGAAAAAAAAGTAGGATACAAAATCAGAACCTACAAATCAATTGCTTTCCTGTATTCCAATAGTGAATCTGCTGAAAAAGAAATTAGGAAAACTTCCCATTCATAATGGCTTCAAAAAAATGATAACAAAATATTTGGGAATCAATCTAATAAGAGAGGTAATGGACCTCTAAAATGAGAATTATAGAACACTAAAGAAATTGAAGAAGACCTTAGACAGTGGAAAGACCTCCCGTGTTCTTGGATAAACAGAATTAATTTTGTCAAAATGGTCATGCTACCCAAAGTGCTATACAGGTTCAATGCAATTTCCATAAAAATCCCAATGACATTCTTCGTAGAACTAGAAAAGGCAGTTATGAAATTCATTTGGAAAAGTAAGAGACCCAAAATAGCCAAATCAATTATAAGTTAGAAAAAGTGAAATAGGAGACATCACAATACCAGGCCTTAAATTATGCTACAGAGCTATAGAAACAAAAACGGCATGGTACTGGCACCAAAATTGGCATGAAGACCAATGGAAAAGAGTAGAGAGACAAACCCACATAAATACAGTTACCTGGTACAAAGGTGTGTTAGAGAAAAGATACAAAGGTGTGTTAGAGAAAAGATAGCCTTCTTAATAAGTGGTGCTAGGAAAACTGGAAATCCATATGTAGCAGAATGAAATTTAACCCCATCTCTCATCCTGCTTAAAAGTCAACTCCAAATGGATCAAAGACCTGGGAATTAGACCAGAAACTCTGTGTCTACTAGAGGAAAGTACAGGCTCAACACTCCAACATGTGAACCAACTTTCTCAACAAGACTCCTAAAGCACAATATGTAAAATAAAATATTGATAAGTGGGATGGTATCAAATTAAAAGCTTCTTCACAGGAAAAAAAAATAAGAGCATGAAAGAGAGAGTCCACAGAATGGGAGAAAATCTTTGCCACATGCTCCTCAGATAGGGCATCAATATCCAGAATATACAAAAAACTAACAACCCAATCAATAAATGAGCATAAGCACTTTTTTCAAAAGAAGAAATACAAACATATGAAAACTGTTCAACATCTCTGGCAATTAGAGAAATGCAAATTATTACTACACTGAAATTGGATCTCACTCCAGTCAGAATGGCAATTATCAAGAATACAAGTAACAATAAATGTTGATGAGGATGTGCAGAGAAGGTGTAGTCATACATTATTGGATTAAAAATTGGAAAGTAGTTTGGAGATTCCTCAGAAAATTTGGTATAGACTCACCATATGACTCAGCTATCTGACACTTAAGTATTTATCCAAAGAATTTAAAATCAGCATACTATGGTGACACAGC